CAGTGATACTTGTTGCTGGTTGTCAATAAGGGAGAATGTGAACGTTAGTGCTGCCCACCTCATGTCAGTCCCTTCCCTTCACGGAGGACAGGAGATCTCACAGAATAACCCAAACCGCGTCATGGCTCTACCGATAGAGGTGACTTTCTACGGTGCTAACTCAATCCCTACGGACATGCATTGTCTGGTGTTGAACCAAACGACGGTGAGCGACAAACAAGAAGGGCCGTTTCAACCCCCTACCGATCTCCTTCTGAGCCCGTTGCGCGTCCCAACCTCCAAAAACTACGCCATATTTCTCGAGCCTCTCCGTCGGTGGTACAATACACTGTTAGGAGAAGGTTGTATTACCGCTGCACAACCTGCGGCGGATGAACGCTTCAATGCACCATTCCTCGCAACACCTTCGACAAAAGGTTCAGACCTGAGCGCTGCCCCCCCCAACCCCCGCCCCGCAACCTTCCCGCTCCGTGAGCGACAATTCGCATTAAAAATAGTCCAGAGAGATAGGAGCACGCGGATACAGAAGGGGTGTCACTCATTTCCAGCACTATCGGCGGTACCCCGTCTCGAAAAAGATGCGCAGTCAAATGACTAAGGGGACAAAAACCATTAGTACATTCCCTCCGTCAAGAACTGCGGGGTCCCCCACTCCCCCCACCTGCGGTGCGATGAAGAATTGGGCGAAGCGGTCTAGCGCTCCGTCGGGCCCGGCGAGATGGTCCGAGGCTACATTGAAGTAGTACACTGTGTCTAACAGCAATAGCAACAACATCGGAAAAACATCGGTAATAAAGCATCAACAACAGCAACAGCGACAGCAACAGCAACGAAAAATCATTAGTCGCACCTACAACAGCGCCAGCAACCCACGCCATCGAGACAAACATCAACCATGAGAACGGCAACAACGGTATCCGCAGGAAAAATATTTCGGGCTGGCAATGACATCGGACGCCAAGAATACCTACCTGCATTCTAGGAAACGATATCCCCACGCCCGCCGAAAGAAACGGCAAGAGCGACCGCGATGTTGCAAGCCGGGACCAACTGAAGGTTGAAGGAAATTTAACTTGCTGTGCTGTTCAACACAGGTACGGTAACGAGACAATTCTCTCGAAACGGAAGCAGAATGCAGTCAAAGACCACATAATGTTCGTGCGTGTGGACGATGCTTCAACAATAAAAGAAAAAGCTGATGGTGCGGGTCTCACGGCAGACGAGAAACAATACAGACCGGTTCGCCCGCGCAAGCTGTTATCCTAAGCCGGGACATCACCCACGACGGCGGTGCATCTCGCAAAACTGCTTGTGTGTGCCACGAACGACAGATAGCTAGGCAATTTCCAAAGAAAAGAAAACTTGCCTCGACTCGTCCGGGTACTTGTCGGTGCCAAGGAACAGGAGGTTTTTTTCTACGGCCAAACTCTGTTCTTGGAGTACGGGTGAGGGTCTGCAACCCCAAGCGCATACCTGGAATTCTCTATGCGCAGGAGCCGCCAGTAGTCACAGGTGAGATCTTTCGCGTTCTCCGATTCGATAGCGTTTGGTTCCCTCTCCGTGGCGGACTCGGTGAACTTCACGCAGAAACCACCAAGAAAAACAGTTTTTGAACTCCCTAGTGAGTCTTCAGAATGTGTCAGTCAGTGATACTTGTTGCTGGTTGTCAATAAGGGAGAATGTGAACGTTAGTGCTGCCCACCTCATGTCAGTCCCTTCCCTTCACGGAGGACAGGAGATCTCACAGAATAACCCAAACCGCGTCATGGCTCTACCGATAGAGGTGACTTTCTACGGTGCTAACTCAATCCCTACGGACATGCATTGTCTGGTGTTGAACCAAACGACGGTGAGCGACAAACAAGAAGGGCCGTTTCAACCCCCTACCGATCTCCTTCTGAGCCCGTTGCGCGTCCCAACCTCCAAAAACTACGCCATATTTCTCGAGCCTCTCCGTCGGTGGTACAATACACTGTTAGGAGAAGGTTGTATTACCGCTGCACAACCTGCGGCGGTTGAACGCTTCAATGTACCATTCCTCGCAACACCTTCGACAAAAGGTTCAGACCTGAGCGCTGCCCCCCCCAACCCCCGCCCCGCAACCTTCCCGCTCCGTGAGCGACAATTCGCATTAAAAATAGTCCAGAGAGATAGGAGCACGCGGATACAGAAGGGGTGTCACTCATTTCCAGCACTATCGGCGGTACCCCGTCTCGAAAAAGATGCGCAGTCAAATGACTAAGGGGACAAAAACCATTAGTACATTCCCTCCGTCAAGAACTGCGGGGTCCCCCACTCCCCCCACCTGCGGTGCGATGAAGAATTGGGCGAAGCGGTCTAGCGCTCCGTCGGGCCCGGCGAGATGGTCCGAGGCTACATTGAAGTAGTACACTGTGTCATCGGAAGCCGTGTAGGCGTTCGACGACCCTCCGTGGGACTTGAGGTGCGCCTCGTAGCGGACGACCAACCGTGAACAGCAACGGACACGCAACAGTGGTAGCATCCGCAACAGCAATAGCAACAACATCGGAAAAACATCGGTAATAAAGCATCAACAACAGCAACAGCGACAGCAACAGCAACGAAAAATCATTAGTCGCACCTACAACAGCGCCAGCAACCCACGCCATCGAGACAAACATCAACCATGAGAACGGCAACAACGGTATCCGCAGGAAAAATATTTCGGGCTGGCAATGACATCGGACGCCAAGAATACCTACCTGCATTCTAGGAAACGATATCCCCACGCCCGCCGAAAGAAACGGCAAGAGCGACCGCGATGTTGCAAGCCGGGACCAACTGAAGGTTGAAGGAAATTTAACTTGCTGTGCTGTTCAACACAGGTACGGTAACGAGACAATTCTCTCGAAACGGAAGCAGAATGCAGTCAAAGACCACATAATGTTCGTGCGTGTGGACGATGCTTCAACAATAAAAGAAAAAGCTGATGGTGCGGGTCTCACGGCAGACGAGAAACAATACAGACCGGTTCGCCCGCGCAAGCTGTTATCCTAAGCCGGGACATCACCCACGACGGCGGTGCATCTCGCAAAACTGCTTGTGTGTGCCACGAACGACAGATAGCTAGGCAATTTCCAAAGAAAAGAAAACTTGCCTCGACTCGTCCGGGTACTTGTCGGTGCCAAGGAACAGGAGGTTTTCGCAGAAATGAGCCAGGCCTGGCAAGTCATCTGTCGTTCATGGTCGGAATACGCGGGGCCGGCGGGCGGGGGGTGTTTTCTGTGTAGGTGCAACGCCGCAGTAACGTATGTGTCCCATCCTGTTCGGGAATAATAAGGGGACCGTTGTGGTATTCGCCCTTGAACCCGAATGTCTTGTACCTTCGTCGCAGCTCCAAGGGCCATTGTGGTACTATGTACCAGGCTACTCTCACTGGAGGAAAGAGAGACGGACAAGGTTTACGAAGTCCAAGTTGAGAAAGAATCGAAGCAGGGCTGGTCAAACAAGCCTCGGCACACCCAGCACGCAGTCACAACCCAAAAAAATATCCACGGGCACAAGCAAGCCTAGTCCAAGAAATGTTTCGAAAACGGATAAAATGACAAATCTTGTTTTTGCCTGGACTACCTATACAAAGAAAGAATATCAACGCAACAAAAGACCCTGGAGGGAGCACGCAGACCCTGACCCTACCCACAACTCCAACTTAGCCGATTCTAACTTTATCCAGTTCACTATGTTTGCTTGCTCAGAAAAGCCTGCGTCGACCACTGGCTTACCTGGGTCAGGGAAGTAGCCAACGTGTACGTCCATCGCCGCGGCGGAGATCTTGGTGTCCGGGTCAGAGACAATGATAGCCTGGACAACCACATCCACCACAAAAGCAGGCGGTGGTGCACAAAAAACGGGACGGGTGCTGTGCTGTGAGCTGTCTCCATGAGTGTCTTCTCGGAGCTACATGCGGTATTTTGCGACGTCGGGAGTCGCCACCCGCTGCTTTGCATGAAATGAGACGTGGCGTGCAGTGCTAGCATAGCGTAGGTCAGGACTGTCCCTAAATCGGATATAGGTCGGCGAATTCGGCAACTCGACGATTAGAACCACGTGTGGCATGATGATGGAGACAACCAACTCGAAGTAAAGTGTTCTCCGGTGTCTTGGCAGCGAGTTGTAGTTGTACAGAGGAACGAAGGGCGTCAGGGGGGAAACCGCGAATGAATTCAGCTCGTAGACATCCTTCATCAACATGGAAAAAAGTCGCGACCCCTACGAGGAGAAGTGTGGCCGAGCGACAGATGTTGGCTTGACCAACAGGGAAGCGATATCCCATGCGTTGGTTGTAATATCGTGTATTGTCATGAGGTTGTGGCTTTGTTACCGTTGCTGCTCTACGTGTACAGGTCGGCAAAGTCGAAGGCGCCATGTAGCTGCTGTACCGAGGAGGGGGCACATCACGGGAAAAGTGAAGGAGGGCGAGGGATCAGTGCCGATAGGTCTGGCAACAGACGAAGCAATCGAGCCTCGAAGACCTCTGAGAAGTTTCACTACAAGAGGGTGTGGGGAGAGCATGCGTGGGTAGCATCGGCTGAAGGTACAGTACCAAGTTCTGAGACCATCTGCTGTGATGAGGACGGAAAAATTCCCGCCCACCACCCTACCGAAGTCGACCTCGGTTTTAGACAGACGAGGAGTGATACGTGAGCCCACAAGCGTGAATAAGAAAAACACCCCCCGGTTCGTCGACACCATCGATGCTGTCAAGGAGGGTGGGCGGGTGGGAAAATCGATCAAGCCCTACGTCCAAACTCTTCTCCGTGCTGGGCACTACCTCGTGGTGTTTTCTTGGTGTGCTTGTCCAATCGAACGCAAACAGACTGCACGAGCGTTCGCTCCCCCACCAGGGGACGCTTCAGCTCTATCCCCTTGAAGTCGAATTCCGACACGCCTCCACCAAACACCGCTTTCCTTCAGAACGCTACATTTTGGTTATTGCTCAAGAATTCTGGTATTATTTTTCTACCCTATTCTATGCCGAGGTTAATCGGGAAAACGTACTCCGTGTTGACCTCAAAAATTACATACCCCATCTCATCGTAGGTACCATTCTTCTACACGTCTCACTCACGGTATTCTCCTAATTTTTACGGACTCTGCCAACCTGGCATAAAAGTAACCCCCGCCCAGCGGAGGCTACTTGACTCTCATTCTCCATTTCTCAGGCAGAGACCGTTGCTTACTTTTCCTTCTCCCTTCTGCGCTAGAGCCCTTGACAGAAATTCAGCATCGCTTACAGTATCAGCGCCGAACCTTCGCTGTACCCCAAGGTGCTTTGGACGTGAAGTTGAACACAGTAGAGTCCTGCTGCTAACGCTGCACGCGAGCATTATGGTCTGCAACCAATGCGATCCGAAACCTTGCGGGCCGAGTAGTAAACGGACGAACTTGGTGAACTAAAATAAACGTGTCTGCAAAAAGTTGTTTGATGGTGCAAACAGGAGTCGGCGCACGACGAATAGCATAGAGTACGTCGACAGTGGATCGCCCAGGTCGTAACCCGTACTGACTGTTCCTCAGGGATGTTGTTGGTTTCGCAGAAGGCGCTTAGGCGGTTGGTGATGATCTTGACGGGGACCTTGCCCACGTGAGATAGCAGCGAGTGCCGTCCCCCTTCGTCTTGGATGGACTATGCATAGACTACATGAAACAAGTTTTTTTCGTCCTTGCTCATCCTACTACTAGCTTGAGGATCCCCCAAATCACTTGAAAATAATACAGCACGCTCATTGCAACAATAACTGGTTGAACGCTCGTCTCGTTTCCCAATCATCAGGAGCTGCTGATAGCAGCAGAGAGTGAGCGAGAGACAGAGAAAGAGAGATTAGAGAGAGAGCGAGAGAGAGAGAGAGAGAGAGAGAGAGAGAGNGAGAGAGAGAGAGAGAGAGAGAGAGAGAGAGAGAGAGAGAGAGAGGCAGAGTCAGACAGAAAGAGAGAAAGAGAGAGAGAAATAGAGAGGATACGTGTACGAGGATAATGCGTGTGCTACCTGTATTCTCTTCGACTTTTCTCAGCCGGGCGGGTGGTATGCATATCTACAGCATGTACACGTGGTCATCACACGAATAAATGTAAAAGCTCAAATCTGCTGTACTGGCTGAATGTCTATATGCATGCGCGTAGGAATCTTCTTGCACTGCACACGACACAGTAGCGCGGAATCCCATGGCAGCACCCCAAACCGCCTGTCTCCACAAGTCTTTGCCCCTCCAACCACAGCTGATGGTGCCATACAAGCAGTGTGCAGCCCTTTGGCTGACTAATGATGATGCATCTGCTGACCTATCTATGCAGTCTACTTCTCTTCCTCCCGGAGCCTCCCGGAGACTTTTATGTATTGCTGGCTGCTGTCCCCTGGGAAAAACCAGTAGGAAGCCAGCAAATGCATGTGGGAGACTACTGCTGTATCTCATTCTAGATAGGAGGCATCCAAAACGCAGCAGACAGACCTACCTGCACATGACATGCGCAAGCTGCACAACAAGCGCAAGCAATGCTGCAGCCAGTCGATGCAGCCTTTTACGTAAAGTCCACATAGACTAGATCGATACCATCACCCCTACAAACGCATAGAAAAATACATAACAGGCACACACCGGCCCGTTTGGGTCTGTTTTGTCTCTTCTACACAGAAACAACAACAGCTTGCCAGTTGTTTTCATGGCGCCACGAGCAAATAATCCGTGCGATGAAGGGTCCATTTTTTTTTTATTGCGAAGTTTTCAACCGGCTGGACATATGCATATTGTTCCGCCACGCACGTGCCGCCTCAAAGAGCCTGCCTCTCTCCCTCTCTCTCTCTCTCGCTCACGAGCCCCGCCCTCCCCACCGTTGTGTCACTCTTACTCGCAACCCGAATCCAACCAAGCAAGCAAGGGGATCAACTGCATCATCCACCTGCCACTGGTAAGCGATGTTCTCCTACCAGTCGTCTATCTATGATAACAAACGCTCGTCTCGCCATCAACCGTTGTTCAACTCGGCCGGTGGCGGGTGTACCCTTGCGTAGGAACGTGGTACTTACTGCTGTAGCTGCTGGTCGTTCGCATCCTACCGTCTCTCTGTGTTGCATCCGCGGTATTTTTTCTGTAGTGGACAGAGGTTCATGCTGCCTTTGGAGGTAGCATGCCGCAGTTGTTTGTGGGAATGTATCAAGTGCCATCTTGCGACACGTCCATGCGTCAACATGTAGCATCATCATCATTATCTTCAGTCTAGATACAGGCTACACGACAGATACTGAATAGTCTAGACTATGTAGAGGACGAACACACGACAAGCAATTATTACAAACACGAACCTTTTGCGGCATAGTAGAGTCCCCAACATCAACATCTGTACCAGGAGAGAGACCAGGAGTATCGCATGATGGAGCAGCGACGTTTGCGTGGGCACTGCCTCCTAGATCTGCTGAGCCGCTGCGGAGTCGGAAGGCGACGCATGAAAATCCGCCGGCGAAGCGCTAGGCGGTTATACCAATTTTACCGTACACAAGCATGACATTCATTGTGTACTGAAAAAGGTATGAAGCCTGCTGCATAGATTTCCAAAACTCGGTTACTCTACAGCAGCAGAGAGACGTGGCAAGCGACAAGGGCGGTGTTGGAACCACCTCGTATAGAGCTCCCCGTACATGGTACCGTTTCGGCATTCATATTTTCTGTCGTGAGTAGTCGAGCTTTGAAAATCGGTTCAGGAACGGGAGGACATGGGACGATGCGTGATGATGCGTTGTATTTGTGCCTTCTTGCTGTACGGAGGCTACTTCTGAACAATAGATGCTGTGCGCGCCGTCACAGAACTAATCTCCTGAGCTGCGGAAACGAGCAGTAGGTGGCACCACTGGTTGCCTTGGACGACCAGTCAGCCTGGGGTGATTGATTGGTTTTGTGATTGCGCGTGCTAGATAGACCAAATGTAGGTGGAGGTGGATCTCGGGTGTGGTCGTGAACCGTCGTGGGCGCCAAAATAATGTGCAGACTTTCTTCCGACCCGCGGACTTGTCGGACTGCCGCTTGAACGTTGAATGCGCGGCCTGCCAACACGCATTCCGCTGCTGCCCTCTACTGGCAGTGTAGATCCTTATTGCTGGGGTTACGACTAAAGCTTTGTTGAACACCCGCCGTGTCGCCTGTGGTCTCTAGCTTTAGATTGAAAAAATCGGATCTGGGTAGTCTGAGGTTGGATTTTTTTTTTATAAACGGATAAGGATCAAACAGTCAAGCTCAAGGCGAGAGTACCTCGGCAGTAGTCCTAGAGAGCGTTTTGCGGCTCCGTTCTAGTCCAATTTCTTCTTTTCTTTCCTCTCCTTCTCTCTCTCTGTCGCTATTTGTCTGTCTGTCTGTCTGTCTGTCTGTCTCTCTCTCTTCTCTCTCTTCAGCCCCTCGCTATCAGCCATTCCCAGGTTTTCAGTGGTCAGCCGGTTAGCGCGGTCGATGCCAATATTATGTTGTTGTTGTTGTTGTTTCATATTAAACCGTATGTCAGTTGCCAAATGCCAAAATCTAGCAAAAGACTCTCAGCCCGTGGTCACGAAAGTGCTAGAGCCATCTGAGGATCTAAAGAACACGCACACATATAACGAGAAAAAGGTATCCAAGAGCCCGAAGAGGTACACCTAAAAATCCCTGCAGCACCGTGTGCGTGCCCAAAAACTGAACTGCACGTCCGTCCCACCGTTCGACTACAGTAGCATCACCCCCTCCCTGTCCCACTCTATACCAAAACGGAAGATTGCCGACTACAGCATACTGCTGTCT